GATCAGTTTGCTCTCTGTGAAAGCCTGAGAGAATGTTTTCTCTCCATGTGACTCTCCGTAGGCACACTACATCATCGATCATTTTCCTCAGTGGAGCCCTCTTCTAAAGGATAGTCTTGAAACCAAAATGCTGAATGTTTTCATTAATTATAGATAAGCAAAAGTGAGAATCTTACCCTCTGGGAAGCTTTTCAGCCTATGCTGGAATGCCTGTGCAAGTTATTAGGAAATGCTTGGTGAGAAAGAAAAAACTAGCATCTGACAACTCCGAGCTGTCGTGGCATGCACAGCCTGACTTGGTGTTACAGGGTTTCTCAGAGCAATAATCTCAGACATGACGACTGTGTCTATGATAGATTAAAAATAATAATAATAAAAAAAAACTTCTAGTCAAATCTAAACTTAGATAAAACAAGAACATTAAACTGTAAAAAGGGATCAAATATCCTTCTGTGGTAGTCAGTGTATATGCTTTTAAGGAGTTAATTGTAGCCTTAGGTTTGTTTTTTAATTTTACCTGCTTTTTAGGTAATATCTGTTAAAATAAACAGTACAGCTGTAGATTAAAGGCTGTAATCAGACTGTTTCGTTGGTTTTCATTCAAGTCACCCAAGTTAGTGGGGCTTAGAAGCTTAAAGTGGAATCAGTTGCCTAATACTAGTGTTTTTTTCTTTTTCCTCATAGATTTTCTTTAGAAATTTCTCATAAGGACTGTCTCCCTAAGATTGCAAGGTATTTTGAGAGCCTTCCTTGTACACCAATCTCTGAGCTTTGTTTACACACCTAGTACCCCTATCATTTGGTGTCATTCAGGTTCACCTGCCAGGCTCTGGAATCTCACCACCATGCTTTTAAAGCATCCTGGACATAGCTATTATTTTCTCTTTTTAATAGCATGCAAAAAAGTTACTGCACTGTTTAGGAAGACACCGGGGCCGGGGGTTTGATCCCCAGCCTGCCGTGCCGGTGCCGGCTCTGCCCCTGGGCACACTGAGACAGCAGTTGAGACTGGGTATGGTGGCACATGCCTGTAATCCCAGCCCTTGGGAGGCTGAAAAACAGGAGGATCACTTCAAGTCTGATCTTTGTAGTGAGACCCTGTAGACCCTGTAATAAATACCTAATATATATTGGAAAAAAAAAGTTACTGCAAGCTTCATAAGATTCAAATGATTCCTCAGCAGCCCACATTCTGTCTGTAAATGTTAATAAATGTCATTTGACTGAACAGAAAGTGTTTACCTGTGGCACTTCTGTCTCCAGAGCTCAGTATACCTCCTCAGATTTTAAATGTACTATAATAAACTATAAAATCTCTTTCCTTCATGGATGGAAATAAAAACAGTAGACTAGGCTCGGATGAAAACAGTAGCTAAGCAGCCTGGCATAAATCTGTATTATTTTGTATATTTTTGGTTAGTACCAAGTAAAGATGAAGCTATATGCATTGCTAGCAAAAGAGATATTTGCCTTTTTAAAACAAAAGAACTTTGTTAAAAATTTTGTTTTGAAATACACAGTTTTCAGTGGATTTCATCTCTAATTTTAAAACACAAGTGCCATCATAGACACTGCTTCTCCTGACCACACGATACTGGGCTGGGGAAGAGTGAGGAGCCCAAGCAGTCCTTTGAATTGAATCGTTTACAGCTTGAAATAGCTTTCCTGTCATAGGATCTATGGCCTGCTCAGAAACAGTGAAGAAAAATAAGTAAACAAATTGGAAAATAAAACATACACTCACGAAACACAGAAGTGTAAGAAAAATGCATTGGAGGGGGAAATCAGGGAAGTGTGGGCATTAATGTGTCTCTTTACATATTTAGCTTCAATGTAGATATTTGTGTGAGAACAGAAAAATATTTAAATTTAACAGGACATTTTACTCCAAAACCTTGTGTTACATTTTAAATAGCTGGGGGCTGGGGAGATAGCTCAGTAGAATAAGTGCTTGCCTGGCAAGCGCAAGGGGCTGAGTTCAGTCCCTGGTTCTGCCAAAAAATACACATATTTTAAATAGAAAATTGAAGGACAAATAATGAAAACTATACTTTGGCAGAAATTAAACTGACCTAGAATCCATCTTAGTTGCCTGTTTTGATAGTGTGCTCTGATTATTAATAACAGCAGACCAACCAGGACTAGTACCAGCACAGCAGAGCATGAAGCAAAAAGGATGGGCATTTGAATGTGTCATCAGGATGGACTTCATTTTAAAAATGACAAAATTCCAAAAATGAATAAGAAATTGTTGTACATATTGGGTAAGGAAAAGATTACACTAGCTCTTGATTTTCTAAGGCCTTTCTCTTACTCTGAGCTCTTTTTTTTTTTTTTTTGAAGCCATCTAGAATGAGAAGATAAGTGAAGCTTGAAGATCAGCTGGTTGGGAAGAAGTACTGTGGTAGGTATTGTGAATTATGTGCCATTCCGAATCTAAGGGTCAGTCCTAACTTGACAATTAATGCTACTAATAAACAGTGCAGAAGCCAGCTCTTTATTTGTTTTATATACGTGACTTTAAATCAGGTTTGTTAAACAATTCAGTGTAGCTGACAGTGAATGTTTAACAGGAATGCATAGCAGACCGTGTTAAAATGTGGCATTGTCCCCAAGTACAGTATGACTAAGACATCCTACATTAGCAGCACCTCTTTGTAACATGAACATAAATGAGAAATAGAGAAAGCATAAGAAGAAGTGAAGTGGGCCTGACAAACTGTGAAGTACATTTTTACAACTGAATACACTAAGATTAAGCCTTTGCCCTCTAAAAAGACTAAATCATTCCACAAGTCGTGGGGGTTATTTTTTCCTTTGTAGATTCACTGCATGCTGTTTATACATTTACCCACTATATAGTTTTCATATACCAGTATAAATGCTCTGTACCAAATCCTTCAATGTAGTTATTTGATGAATGGTTTGATTTGTACCAGCATGTTCTGCACTAAAGTCAGAAACTAAGAATTAGGTATACAATTAAAAAGATGGACTCTAGTATTAGCACTATTTGAAAGGGATTAATGATAGCAGAAGGATAAACAAACACTAGTTATATTTAGATGGGATAAAACAACATGTAGAAAAGGGTTGGATTGAGGATCAACATCTTATGACAAAGGTTCATGCTAAATATTTTAAAGAAGCAGTTTTAAAATATGGTTATGGTTTGCAGATGAGGTGAAATTTTTGTCAAAAATATTTTTATGTTCTATAAATTCTTGCAGACAGTACAGAGATAAATTGTTCTGAGTGAAACTTTTTATTTTTATCTATGTATTTATTGCGCTTTCCAGGCAGGCGCTTACGCCACTAAGCTATCTCCCCGACCCTATATAACTCGCTTTTAAAACTTTATTTTCTTGGGTGTGGGGAAATAATTAAATGTGAAACAGTTTTAGTTAAAAAAAATCCAAGAGCATTTAGCAATTGGCAAGAACCTGTAACAGGGAAGCAAGATTAAAAAAATTTATAACTATGATTTTGTTAAATACAGAGGAAAATTAGGCAGTTATAGATAGGCATTTTCCTGGGACAAGATCCAAGTGGTATGTAACTGCACATTGCCTTACATGTCGAGCCATAATTGGGCATAAGAGACATGGAGAGGGTTTTGGCTTTAGCGTGATGACATCATAAGCTTCCTATAGCAGTGTACTTGAAGAATAGAAATAGTGTCTTTTAGGCTCTCCTTCAGAGTAATGTCTGATGTAGGAAAATATTCTTAACATTTGGATCACTTTTTTTTCTTCCAGTGCCAGAATTCACACTCAGGACCTTGTGCTTGCCAGGCAGGCACTTGTGCCACTGAGCTATATCCTGGCCCACATTTGGTTCACTTTAAGTCACCCCATTTTGCCCTGATAACATCTGAAGAGCAGAAATGTTGGTTAGAAGCACTTCTGGATTCTGACAGACAGGGAAGCGGGTCAAGTTGGTGATAGGGAGGAACAGTAGGTAACTGGGAGATGAACAACAGGAACAGTAGGCAAGGTTAGAAAATGAGGTGGGAGAAGTTATAAAAATTTATTTTCCTACGAAATAATTCCACAAGCTGTGTAAACGTCTCTTACTAAAACAAATACTTGAACACACAAAAATTGTACATTTCCAGTGAAACACTCACAGTACAGATTGCCTGTCTTTTTACTCACTAGGAGTGAAAACAAAGAGGCAGCTGATGAAAGCTTTTCTAGTTACCTTTGGCAGCAAGCTTCCTCACATTCCCTGACTGCTCAATGAATTATCAAAGCAACATACAGCACATTTACATACAAAGCCAGGTGGGCAGAAGTCTAGATTTCAGTCTCTCTTCATTTATCTCCAGCATTACACACACACACACACACACACACACACACACACACGTGCATACAGAGGGTTCCAGTGCTGTGACTATAACAGACACTAGCTACTAAGAACGTGTTTGTCACAAATCAGTGTGAACTGTATGGAGTAGAACAATCTCTGGAGTTTGGTTATATTTACCATAATTTATGGTTAAAATTATAAACTTACAAGGATGGTTTAACATTCAGAAATCAAACTTTTTCAAGTCAAGCAATCACACATATTTACAGTATGTACAACTTTCTAGTAGAGTGGAGATAGTGTCTAGACAATGTTATTACAAATTTCCTGAATGTGGGCATCTCTAGTCCCTGTAATTCATAAAGCAAATCTGCTGACTTGGCATTAAGACTCTAAAATATTGTGATCAAACATATATATGTATATATATTATATATAATTATGTGTTTGCAGAAATAACATTTACAAACTGTCTATACAGTACACAGTACTAGTACATAGAAAATAGATTCTAACTTTATGATCCCCTTTGTGTAAGGCAAGACTGAATCTGTCCCCAAATTTAGTCAGCCAGAGGTACAAGCAAAAAACAGTGGTCCATGAATGAATGAATATGCACATTGGGTATCTGAGTATTAAAAATCTGGAGAAACGAAATTCCACTTTTGATCTGTGCTGCTTCTGGATTGCTGGATACATCTATATTAAAACACTAACATTGTCAGGATAGCAATAGGTTTTGTTCGAGTGGCAGCTACCCGAAACAATTTCTGAAGAGTCTAGTATACAACCAGAGGACTGCAGCTGTACCAGGCCAATGTATATAGCACTTACCAAAAAATAATGTGTTAATACTCTATTTCATGCCATTGCTATTTAAGCAACAGCAATACAAAACATACGAGACAGGTCACATGTTTGCAGTGTAGACTCCAAAGATTTTGTCTGAAGGTGCTGTTGTACAAGACTCGGGGGGAAAAAAAAGGCAAAAGTCATTGGCGGATGTAAACATCCCTATTCCACTCCCCAGCTTCGTTCCGTTTTTTGGATATTACTTCACCATCTTTGTCACAGTAGCGATCCTTGGATTTATGACGACTCCGCTGTTTGTTGCACTCATTGTGGTCCTGCTCCCGGTCTACGTCCCTTGAGCGGTGCCGAGGCTCTCGGTGTCTGTGGTCACTGCTCCCGTGGGTCTCATCTCTGTGGTTGTGATCCCGGTGTGGGGCGTAGTGGTCCACATGTTCATGGGAATAATCTTCCTTTGGCTCCACGTAGGCTGAGTCTCGACTCTCCTGAGTTTCAGAGTCAAATGTCTCCTGCCTGGAGAGGCCTCGACTCGTGCCGCTGCGATGGTTGTGGTGTGGGGCTGAGGAGGAGGAACGGTGGTGGGACTTCTTGACGGGTTCCAGGCAAGGTTCTTCTTCAGGTTGGGAAGCTGATCGGGCAGGAGCCGAGCGATCAGTCCGCTGATCAGCTTGAGAACCCTGGTAACAAAAGGAACATGTCTGGGCTTAAGCAAGGTTAGGAACTTAGAGGTCATGGTGTAGACATTCATGTGTTGTCTTTTGAAAGGACCTTAGATGCTGAAATGCAAGTCTAGCTCAGTTGCTTCCTTTGGTATCATCCAGTGGTATTGACAGGGTTTGTTTGTATAATGTTGGACTTAAATTTGTAAGTGCCTGAAACAGTACACATAGTAGTCAACCTAGTTTATTACAAAGAATAAATGAAGAGGGGCTACTGTTGTTTTATATAGTCTCTTGTGATTGTAATAGACACACAGGTCTGAGATTTTTCTGCACACGGGTCTGAGATTTTTCTGGCATAGACTCACCCTACCTCTGCTTAAATGTGTGAGATTAACAAAAACCACAGTCAAAATGAGATGCTTAAATGACACTTGACATGGAACATCAGTGTTCCAGGGCCTGTTTTACATATAGTACTTAATCCACTAACCTAGGAGATAAGGTAATTTTGAGAAAAAACAAAAGATGAGATAATTGCAATATGTAATTATTACTAGACTGTCCTTATTGTTCTCAAGGCAAACAAGCCAGGAAGTAATTATGCCTAAATTGTACATGCAGTGGAGCCAGGCCTTGAATGCAGGCACTCTACTGTCTCAAGGACTGTGCAGTTAGTGAGTTTTAAAGGCGGAAGTATGTTCAATTTGCTGTGCTTTCTTAGAGGTATGTAACACATAGCATCATAAACCCAATGACTTTTGGATACCATTAAGGTCCTGGAGCATGCACCAAGGTGGCTGTCGGCTTGGAACCCAGTGGTATCACCTGCAGCAACCTAGCTTCTCTGTGAAGACGGAGAGTGAACTGTGTTTACCTGTGAATTAGAGGCTAGGGTGGGGCTCATGGGCAGAGTCGAAGTGGCTAAGGTACGGCTAAGGAGAGTGTTGGGGAGGTTGCTGCTGGGAGGATGGGTGGCCTTCCAGTAGGCCTCCAGATAGTCGGCCAAGTGCTCACAAGCATCCTCAAGCTGGTTCTCATCCAAGATCACATCGAACAACTCCTGTGGTGGGAAATATTACAGATAGCACACTTAACACCAGGACTGAGTTCCTACCTTCTTCTCCCTCGCCTTATGGAGGGGGCCAGGGGTCATGAGCTACACCTCTTTGTACTTGCCCTTGTTTATGTGCTCTGCTTTCTCCTTTTCTGTTAGCAGACTGTCCTAGGCAGCTTTTAAGTCTATGTTATCACATATAATCCTTTTGAATGCCAAATGCTTAACCACAAAGTGAATAGGTGCACAGTAGGTACTAAGGGCTTGGCAGTGCAAAATGTTATCAGTGTTGAAAAAAAGGCATTGTGACTGTGGTAAGAGAAGTGAAAAAGAATAAAAATCTGTACAGTACAAGCAGAAGCCTGTTCTCAACATAGTTCAAAAGCTAATGAGGCACAATTGGGACATGAAATTTGGCAGAAACTGTGGACACTTTGACATTGCCCAAACTTCACAGTAGTTCATTAGGAAACAATGCCTCATGTTTCAAAATTTTAGAGTTTATGATAGATTTTAACATATTTCAGAGCAATAAGATTGATGGAATCAACTTTTATAGTCCATGAGATAGCTGTGCTTGAAAACAGACGCATGAATTAGAAGTAAAAATGCATTCTGAAGAAAAAAACTGCTCAGAATGTTGTTTATATACGGCCTCAAAGTCAGTTTCTTAGATGTTATTAACAATAGGCAGCTTGTTCCTTGAGATTAGAAGTGAAAAATTAATCAGCTTCAGGGAGATCCATCTCATAGATCAAATTTGTGAAACTCCACTCCTATCAGGTGTTAGGAAGGCAAGGACCGCACCAAGTGCCTGCCACGCTTTGCAAGCCACCACCTTACGTGGTCCACCTGTGTGCTCGAGACACAGGACCACAGAAGCGAGTGGGATGACCTGGTTTGGAACAAATGCCCCTGCACACACTGAGTATTCTCTCCCTGAACAGGCATTTGAATCCTTCTTTTATTAGTCTCTTTCACACAATGCAATGCACAATCTGGCCCCTTCAGCCGCATCCTGCCATGCAGGCACTCACTTACTGGAGGACACTGAGCAAGTTTATCCGCTGCCACCATCTGGACGCTGAGGTGCTTAGCCTGCGACTTCCCCCGAGATTTTATTAGCCTTTGTAGAACCTGGAAAAGATAATGAGTTTTTAACATGTCAGTATCTGTACTCAGGTAAGCTACGAAGTAGCTTATTAACCCCTATACCTGGGGGTCTTACAGGTAGTGCAAACAGTTTCTAGTAGGTTGATTTATGCAGTACAAGGTATACCTACAAAATGAGCATGCTGACATAAATCTGAGGTTCAAAGCTTTAAGCACTTCCATACAGCTATTCTTATACTCCTCAAACTTGATATCTCACGCCCTCTTTAAGTTTAAAAAAACAGCAGGGGCCAAGGAGATAGCTCAGCCGCATAAGCGCCTGCCTAGCAAGCACAAAGTTCTGAGTTCAGTGCCCACTACAGAAAAAAAAAAAGAGAAAGAGAACCCCAAAGAGCTTTTTTTTTTAATTTACTATATTAGTATTAAAAAAATAATCCATATAAAATTTAATATTATAATACTTTGTATAAACTGGGCTATAGTTTTTTATTAATCTAACACTTGATTTAATAGACAACCACTTCTGTCTTCAGTCTGCTACAGTGTACTGTTTTGGGTGGCATACACATAAAATCCAGTGGGAAAGGAGGAATATTTTAGCTACACCTTTTAAGACGATGGTGTTCTTCTTTGATACTGTACTAAATCACAAGTACAGTAATAGTCTTCCTCAAAGACTGATTGCCATGAGGAATCTGGGACTTTACCAATGTACTTTTCTTCCACTGTTCTATTTTAAATTAAAATGGGTCTTTTATCATGCATGAGTCATAATATCATTTGGAAAGTAACAGTTCACTGAGTTCTTCAGATCTTCCAAATGTTGACATTTTATGATATATAATATTAAAACATGGTATCATTTGCGATAAGTTCCTACTTTTGAAATGATCAGCTTATTTTGTTCAAGAAGATAGCTGCCAGACACTCAAGTCATTTGTTGAGATTAAAAATAGTATTTTATAAAGAGAATGAAAAAAAAAAGTGGTTAGTCAAATAATCCCCCCTACTATTTCATTTGGAGACTGTTTTTGCTGTGTAGCATTATGCCAGCAGCATAAAAGTGTACCTTCATGAATACTTTCTATTTTATTGCCTACTAAAAAGGCTCATATTTAATAGTCAAAAGTTTTAAAAATTCATTACTTTTACTGCTTCACTGGGACTGTTCCACTGTTCCATTTTAAATTTGAGTGGCTCCTTTACTCTGCCCGATTCATCATATCGTTCAGTGATCACTTGGAAAGTGGTGGTTTACTGAATCCTGCAGATCTTCCAGAGTGAAACTAGCTCTCCTTTTAAATTGTCCTTTCAACTACAAGTGCATGATGTTGATAAATTCCCTAACTACTAGTGCTCATTGGTACCACTGCCTTGATACATGTGTAGATCCTAGCAGTTTTACCCAACATTGGTTTTGTACTTTCTATATAGATGTCAACATAGTGGAAAAAAGCAGTAATATCTTACTATTATCAGTGACATCATCTTTAGCTCATGGGCCCTCTCAAGGTGTCTCAGAACTCTCCAGGTGCTAAGCCATGAAACTAACCATTGCCTTATTTATGTTAGTCTTAAAAATTCCTAATCATCATAAGGCATAGCCTGTTATAACTAGAAAGCAGAACATGAAACACATTTTAGTAACATCTAATGACTTGGAGCGAACAGTAGCAACCCTGCTTACCTTAGGAGAAGAAATCTTTACATAGACTATAATAGGGGCCAGAGAGGTTTTACTAAGTTGAGCCGGATGATTAATAGTATCTGCATCAAGCACTACCAGTTGCAATGTTCTAGCAAGTTCAAAGATCCTTTCAATTTCACTCTGAACTTCCGCTGTAAAAAAGCAGAGTTCATTTAATTAGGTTAAGGTAAAGTAGTGTGATGTATTATCTTATCAACAGGAAGATCAGTCATTATGTTAATATTTCAGGCAATAGAATTGCTAGAAGGTATCCTTTAGAAAGCACTAGTTCGTCACTCTTGTAGAAATTAAAGAATTAATCTCTCACAGCCAGCTCTAAATTTTGCTTCTAGTATACTACTCTGAGAATGAAATTAGTTTTTGTTTCTGCTGACTAATTTTTCCTATTATAAAACTTTTATTCTATGGAATTATTTCATAAAAATCTTAGGGTGTGTTTGTAGTGTTTCTCACCACTACTAGCTTTCTCTTCACCGCATGAGCTTGTCTATACTTGTATTCATTATTATTCCGTTAAGATATTATCCAGCTGAAAGTGCAATGTAAACAGGCAACACATGAAGGCTGCCTACTTAAGAAGTTATCTAAAAGTTCTTACGTTTTCTACCAGCAAGGGAATAGTTCTATAATACACATTTTAAAGGGCAGTGATGTATTAGAAACAACACTATAGAAATCCAAGCTATAACATTTATAGAAAACCTATTATTGAACATCTGAAAATCTGCTTGCACTCTAGGAAAGTTATATTCAGCTTATATACTGCTCTGTGATCTTGTCAAAAGACCAAACAGCACTATTTGAATATTCTCTCTAGTTGCTGTTAGCCACATGTGACTACAGTGTACTTTGAAATGTTGCAGGTATGAATGAACAATTACATTTTTAAAATTTTAGTAATCCAAATAGCCAGAAGCTATTGTACTTGGGAGCATAATACTTCTATGAAGAATAATGTATAGCTTGCAATTCCCACCTCAATCTTAGAGGGCCAGTTCCATGAGACTTTGGTCATCAGATAGGTAGTTTCTATAGTCTTCTTAGGGAGAGTGTTTCTGGCCCTGTAACCTAGACCATTCTGTTAAAATGCCACTTACTCAGGCCTTCCCCTTATAAAATTATATCCTCTTCTGTAGTGTACTTTACTTACTCCTTGGCCTGCTACTTCTTCAGGACTCTTCAGCTATTGGCCAACTATCTGTCATTATAAGGTTTTGTCCATGTCTTTCCACTGAGACAAAAACCTCAAAATACTTGAGGATTTCTTGAATATGATTTCATGATTGATTTTGAACTTGAAAGCATTATAGCAAATCCTACACCCTGAGGTCTTTTAGTCCAGCTGGCACTAGCCATGGACAACACATCTGCTTTTTCTGCACTTGGAATTACCATCTAGTTAGCTCTCATTGTCCTCTTTAAGATAGCAGTGTCTAAATAGTGCTGCGCAGACTTACCTAAGCTTGACCTTGTGTTGGACCTCTCTATTATTGCATGTTTACTGGGATTGTTTAATACTGAGCGTTTGGCAAGGGAGATGTCAGCAGTGACCCTTGTGATAGATATCCTGTTGCAGAAAAAAAGGAAAAGGTGGTGAATCTAGTAAGGGAGGATGAACGCACACACCCAGATAGAAGTATGTATACACACATATTTTCAGACCATCTATTTGAGCACTTAATAATTGCATTGTTTATGTTGCAGAAGCCTCACTTAGCAGTTATTGGCTGTTTAGCAGATGCCAGTGATATACTAAACACTGTACTTGAATCATCTGATTGTTATCCCCTATAGATAAGAGAGAGGGTCATCTATTTTTACTGATAAAATGAACCACAGGTAGATTATTTACTAAATAGTGGGGCTAAGATTTGAACCCAGATACTGATATATCCTTAGGCCTTTTACCATAATTCAGTGTTACGATGTTAGGATAGGCATGGAAAAGAAAGAACAGGAAGATGTAGTCTTCCCTCGGAGAGCTAAAAGTCTGCTGCCAGACACAAGGCCTATGACAAATTAGTAAATGATTAAAGATTATACTGATTTGTGAAGAGTATTCAGGGTATTATAAAAGACAGCGAGTTGAAGGGATCTTTTTAGGTAGGATAGAAATGAGCATGGTAGAACATGGAAGCTGAAAATACTAGTACATGGTTCCTACTAGAGAATGCTGAATATTCAGGAATATGCAAGTGTGCAGTAGGAAAAGCTGTAAATCAAAATTGAAGGCTCAGAGTATCTCTAAAGAGGGAGGAGAAGGTACTAAAAACAAGGGCTTGATTTAAAAGTCTGCTTCCAAAACACCCTTCCAAGCACATCAGGTAGCCAGGTGATAATTCTTTTCATGTCTGATAAAGACCACAGATTTATTGTCTGCCTTTAGGCAGAAAACCAGATGCCCCTGAACAGGGCATACGAGGCAGAGTGGGGACAGTGAATACCAGACAGAATTTTTTTTAACATGTATTTGGTACAGGGTCTCACTTCACAGCTCAGACTCATTGTGATCCTCCTGTTTTCAGCCTTCCCAGCAGTGCCAGGATTACAGGTGTGTGCCACCACTCTTGGTCTCATTGATGTGACATGTGATACTAGGAATCGAACCCTGGTCCCTGTCCTTGCCTAAGCCAGCACTTAGTTTGCTGAACTATCTCACCGGCCAGAAAAAAAGAGGATTCTGACTGTTGAACCACCAGTCATCTTCCCCATCTTAGAATTTTGGTAGCCAGGCGTAGATGTTTATATCCCATTGGGGGCAGAAAGGAAGATTCTGTGGAAATTGACTGCTAAATAGTGAAGACCCAGAGTGCTCCAAGAGGACTGACAGGGAAGCACAGAAATCCATTTCTAAATGTATTTTCCATTCATACTCAATGTCCCATTCTCAGGCGCAGAGCAGTGTTCAAAGAAAGTTGAGGACATCTCTCCAAGAAAGAGTAAACAACCACCAAAAAAAGGGAGGGGAGCAAAGAAATAGAAGTAGAGAAAAAAGCTAAGAAAATTAAAGAATTAGCCAGGAGGTTCAAATCCAAAGAACAAGGGAAAGAGGATTGAGAATAATGTAACCAAAGGAGAAGAGACAATTTCACAATGAAGGATTTGATTTTTCAAGTTGAAAGCATTTAGGGTGAATTTTGAAAATCTTCACCAACACCTATTATAAATTTCCTAATTCTGGGGACATAAAGGAAAAAATTAAAAGCTTTGAGAAAACAGCTACCATCCCACACAGGTCAAGAATTTAAAAGTGCCGCATTTTCTAATAGCAAAAGTAGGAGCCACCTGAAAATGCTCTCAGGTGCTCTATAGAATCTACGCAATTTAAATATTGAGGTTGCTGCAGGTTCCTATCATGGCTCTGATACTTCAGCAGCTACCTAATTCTTTAATGTGCTACCCATTGCTTATTTTATTGAAAGCTACCATTCAGGAGACCACAAGCTTCCTGAAGCCAAATCCCTTGTTTGTTTTTGTTTCTCTCAGTGCCTGGCACTTGGCGAACACTGAAGACCTGCTTGGGCAAGGAGATGGGAGGACTAAGGGGAAGCTCCTGGCATGGTGTGCCTGATGCAGCCCCAACTTTGTTACCAGGCGTTCTGTTTTACTGCTAGAAGTTTCAGCTTATGGTTTAGATATGGACTCTGTAAGCAGAGTGCATTTCTGTAGCAATAAGTATACAGCTAGAAGGGAGAACTTGGAGTTTAAATATAAGAACTCCAGTAGGCATCTTAGAACTGATAATAAATGAGTAGTTGGATGTATTTGTCTGGAATTTAAGCAGTGACCAGCAAAGCAATGGTATCTAAAAATCTCATACCAAAAGAGTGAATGTAGATGGAAAGGAGAAAAAGCCAGAGGGTAACACAAGGAAAGCATGGTTCCAGAAACCAAGCAAGGAAAGTATTTTATCATCTGTTGCTCATGGACAAATAATGTGAAGACTGAGAAATCATCCCTGGGCTAACAACGTGAGGGCCATTGGTGATGTGGACTGGTTCTGACTGAGTAGTATGCATACAAGTGTAAGTGGAGTAGACACAGGAAGGGAACAGAAGCAAGCACATAGATACAAGTTAGTGTTGCTGTATAGAAAGAAGAATATGATAGCTGGAGGGGAATGTAAAAGATGTGAGGAAAAGTAGCTACATTTTTGTACACAGATGATGTCTACAAAATTCCTATTTGAATAGGAATTATTCTTAAAGAAAGGGAAGGATAGCCATGCCCAGATAACTTGCACAGAGAGGAGATTGGGAATGTGGTCCAGGGCCCAAGCTGATGGGGTCTGGCAGTTGACCATTGCTAGAACAACAGAGCAAAGGCTAAACAGCACGTGCATACAGGAAAGAGGAGATGGTCTGGAAGTCTTTTGGAAGAGTGGAAACGTGAGTGAAGAGGGAGATACAGTTAGGCTGTTAGGAACAAGACACCAGTGGGCCAAGAATTGAGGGTGGTTCTAGCTGGCTGGTTGTGGCCACATTCACCTGATGGATGCAGGTACAGAACTAGAGGGCTGAGGTTGTGCAAAGCAAGTACAACAAATGTTTCCTGAACCAGACTGAGCAGATGAAAGTATTTCCTGTTAATTACATAGAAGCCAGACGGTGATTATCTCTTGAGGCCTATCACATGCCTGCCCCCAACCAGAGCTCTGTCCTTTCCAAGGAAAAACAGCCATAAATCTCATATTCTGAAATACTCACCGCCCTTCAAATCTGTGTTTTAAAAAATCAAACAATGCTTTTTGCATCATATCTGTGACCTGTAATTGAGCAAGCAACAAATTATGTTAAAATGCTATTACAAAATATTACTATTTGTAATAAGCCAGTCTCGCCTTTCTAAGAACACTTAAAAACCTGAGCTTTGCACTTGGAAAAAGTAGCATGTAAAGTTACCATATTTTTCTGTTTCTGAATTCCAACAAAATGGCATTTAAAAAAGCAAGTCTCAGAACTTCTGTTGTTGTGACAAAAAATTACATTGCAATTACTTTGAGTCACTCTCCACCTGATACTGTTTCCAGGAACAAGCAAGCTGTGGCAAGCAGAAATCTCTAAAGCAAGAGCATTAAGCAGTGTGTACCACAGCTTGAAACCCTACATGCTTTGCCACTAGGACCTCCTTACAGTCAAGTGTTAAGACTGGAAGGTGGCGTCCCGGCTGTGAGTAGCTACTCACCTCATATCCCTTCAGGGAGGGGCCCACCAGGACCACTGGCCTCATGGAAGGTACCACATCATAAGGAGGGGTGTGCTCTGTCTGCAGAGAGAGGAGGCATGTTCAGATGTGTCACGGGAAAGTGGACCATACAGTGTTTTGCATACAATAAGGTGTTCTCTTGGAACTCCATAATAACTGAGGCTCAGCAAACCCAGTCAAGGATTTGTGTATTTATTTTCCTTAAGTTTTCAAGTTACTGAATGGTTTGTAGTTTTCTTGCTCTTCTCAAGAAAACACTACTGTTCGAGTTAATTCCGAAAGCAGCATGGGCTGCTTTTGAACAAAAACTAGTTGGTCAAACAAACAGAAACATGCCTCATGCAGAATGGGTGCTTAAGGCTTGGCCAGAGATTAATACTGCTTTTTAAGAGCATGTAGGTTTTCTGAAGAGTTGAAGTGATCAGCCCTGGCATGGTTAATTATGGAAGAAAGACTGCATTACTTTTGCATCTTAGAAGTTTGTCTTACCTGCATAAAACCTAGTTTCAAAACATTGGGACTGTCTCAACCAAATATTTGAAAAGTATCTTTTATTGTGAGAGTTTAAATTGGCTTACATGCTTATTCCAGCCAACAGCACTCAAATTCACTGTTCAGCTTTAGCAACTGATGCTTTTAGATTTCTGGTTTCTGTATACTGGCATTTGAAAACTTAAAATATAAGGTTCATATTTTAAAGGAAAGCTGCTTAATATGTAATAGTCAACCAACCTTCACTGGCCTTAGAAGGCTCATTTTAGACTTGTAACTAATGTGCTCTTAAAAATAGTTGAGGTAGTCTTTCTTTTGCATAACTAATTTATGCCTTTCTCCAGTAATTTATTTCTTTCAGGAGAGCAGGGAAAGGAGCTAGATGATGTTACTATTTATGAAACCATCAATACATTTGAGCTTAATTCCTTCAGATAATTTTTTTTTAAAAATTAGCCAATACCTAATTTTGATTTTTACTAAAACTTTTTTTTTGGCAGAACTGGGGATTGAACTCAGGCCCTTACACTTGCCAGGGAAGCGCTTATTCCACTGAGCCATCTCCCCAGCCC